CCACTACCTATGGCTTAGCAGTCAAGATCGCTAACCAATAGACAGACAGATTTTTTTTTGTGTCTAATAATTAGTTTACAGAAATTTGTGTTCAGAATCTTCTTTTAGGCAAATAATGCCTGTAGTAGAAAATTCCGCTTCTGCATATTTACATTACGTGATTTTTAACACAATAATATGGGATGTTAGTTTATAGTTAAAAATGTGTGTTTGTGTGTGTATGTGTGTGTGAATGCGCGCGCACGCGTTAGTGTGTGTGTGTGTATATATATATATCACATTCTGTTTATTGTAACGATGCCTCTGTGTCCTCGGTGTTTCTTTGCAATCATATTATTTTTCTTGCGTGTATGTTTGTCTCTTAATTTATTCAATTATATAATTGAGTTGATTATTTATTATATTGTCTAGGTCCAAATAAGGTCTTTGTTGACGGTATATCCGAATTTATCCGATCTATGATACTTCCTTCTTTTACAGTTTATCCCCACTTTAAAAGGCAAAAACTTATACCCTTTTGAACTAAATACATGAATGTACGTGTGAGTGTATGTATGTGTGTGTAATTAATTATTTCCCTATTACAAAAATCTTCCAGATCCAATCCAGCATATATCATGTTGGTAAATTGTTGTGTGTATGTTACTCAACTTTACTAAACATGTAAAGTATTAGTATGATGCCTGAAGTGGAAGGCAGATAATCAAGAACGCTGACGTAGCGGTTCAAGCGGTCGCCACGCCACTTACTACTACGCTGAGTGCTGTGGGTTCGATTCCCACATGGGACGATACACGATTGATACACAAATTGATGTTCTGAGTCTGGGTGTTCTTTGTGTCCATTTCATTTATGTTTGTAAAGTCCCCCGCGACACAGGAATATGTTTTTAATGCGGGAGTTGTCTTTTTAAATACAATTAATTAATTAATTGAGTGTTCTCAGCAATTGTTATACGTTTATGATAACTGTTTCACCCCCCTTTTAACTGAATTCAATACAAGTAGAAGGTTATCAAGGGATTTTTTTTTGTTACATGAGAAATCTGTTCGAAAATTCTTTCTTAATATGGAATGGTATACTTTTCATTTGGTAACAATAAAAAAATACGACCTGTAAGGGTAGAATATCAAGGAATAAAGAATACATCATCATGATCGGCCGCTGCCGAAGAATACTCAACAAAGGCCTCCCTCAAGGCTTGCCAAAACACAGGTTTTTACAATTATTCGTCATGAAAGAGGAACATTGAATACATTTTTTTTAAAGCTAATTATTGTGATAGTGCCTTTATCGGATACGAAAACATTTATTCAAATCCCACTAGCTGTTCTAGCAGATATGTTTACATGAAACCTCTTCAGCATCAGTGGTTATTTAGATATGTTTGTGTATTGCGTCAGTCTCAGGGGAGTCTGGGACGCAGTCGTCAGGATTCAAGGTCGGTGTGTAGTGTCGGTTCTTCAAAGTGACAATTATAATTCAAGGTAGCAAGGGAATCCTTCATTTAATATGATCTATTGCTGTCTTCTACCACGGGAGAATAAAATACCAGTATGAGTGAGTCAGATTCCGAACTTTCATTAACGAAATTGTTGGTCGTTGTTTGACTTAAGAATCTATATATTAATACGTCCGTCCGTATTGAACGTGTGATGATGAATTAGGAAATATGGAGTGTTACCACCCCTGTTCATCCCGTAGGTGTCGTAAGAGCCGACTAAGGGAGCAAACCATGCAGGATACCAGCACTGCAAAGAGAAGGAAAACTTGACACAAACTCAACGTGGTATAGTAGGCCAAAACCTCTTTTCTAAGGAGAGGCCTATGTTCAGCAGGCTGTTGAAGCCTGTTGATGTGTGATGTTATATGTAATACGTTAGGAGACGTTCGTGTCTTAAATCTAAAAATGTGCCTACGAAAGTTTTGATGTTGGTCAATAACAATAACCTCGCACAATACACGGACGTCTGATCTCAAACTAGGCACAGCCTGTACTGCATCAGCATTCTGGTTACAATAACCAGAATGCTGATAAACACTATCTTTCTAAATACATACATCTAAACAGAACAAATGATCGTACTCATCACACAACTTATTTGTCCTGGGTGAGAATCGAACCCACGTCCTTAATTGGCTTAGCAGTAAAGATCGCTAACTACTAGTCCAATCATCAACAGCCTTTAGCAGTCCATTGCTAGATATAGGCCTCTCTTTACTAGTCTAATAGGCCCAACAAATTCATTGTTAATTTTAATTATTTAGTACTTGTAACACTTATAATATTTCTTCACATGCCTGACAATCAGGCAGACAGATGGAGATAGCCAGAAGAAGAAGGACGAAGTATCATGTGGAACAATCACTTCCTCCTTCTTTTTCTGGATTGTTGTATTGAAAACAGTACAAGTGACTTAGTTATGTGTAGTAAATTCCAACAAGTGCAATCAGTCAACAGTATAACTAGTCAGATCCTTTTAGAGCTTTTTTCTTTTGAGGAACGGAATACTCAAAACTTCATTATTTCATCGTCATATATTACTGATACATATTTATAACAGAGGTCCAATACCCTTTTCTAAATAAGTAAAAAGCAATAAAAAACTCCTATCTGAGCGCAAATATGTGTCGTTCGCTTGAATGAGATGTCACATGTAACGCTGACAAATTGGCTGCGGGGTTCGTTCCTAATTCATACGTGATGACCTACAAAGGGGGGCGAGAATGTCACGGCATTGCATTAATTTACATTTAGTGGGCATATGTGCAATTTCTTTAAATAACTGTATTAACTGCGTATGGTGATGCTTACTACGCAGGACAACAGTACTGTAAAAAGAAGGAAAACTTGAAACAAACCCTACATCAACCCGTCTGGCCAGCGCGGTTTAGGACAAAAAGTTATTTCTAAGGAGAGACCTATGTCCAGCCAGTAGACTATTTAAGGCTATTGATAATGATGATCTTCTGCGGGAAGGACTTTTCGTAAGTTGGAACTGGGTTTTTCGTAAAATATTCCTACATACTTGAGCACTCTTGTCTTCTCCGTTTTTGATACCCCAATTCACCTTTTTCCCCCTTTATTTTGTAAGTGTCTACTGCCGTCCATGGACATCTTTGAGCCCTGTATTGAGGTATACTGGCTCTGGTAACCTCACTCGATCGGTGAAAAACAAAAAAATAATAGCTTAACACTAGTTTTCGGTGAAGTCGTGATATCGTGATACCTTCTTCCTTTCTTTGTCACATCTTTTTTTTATTTTCTTTAAAGACAACCCCCGCATTAGGAATAAGTATATCCTGTGTCGCGGGCGACTTTACAAACATACATGAAACGGACACAAAGAACACCCAGACTCAGAACAACAATTTGTGGATCATACAAAGTGTAGTCCCATGTGGGGATCGGACCCATAGCACTGCAGCGTAGTAGTAAGCGGCGTGGCGACCGCTTAAACCACTACGCCATCCGTGCAGTCTTAAAGAGGTCATTACATTCTCAAAGAGGGTTGGCGTGAATCAGGCAACCTGCCCCTTTTGCAATGTTCAGTAACTATAAATAAAATTGGCTAAAGGTCATATTGACGATACTGACAGAGTATATATTTGTGTATCGTCATGAGATAAACCTAACAATTGACGTCGTGTTACGTGTGACTTTACTGCAGACAATTGCGTGACTCAGTGGCAAAAATTGGTCAATATACAGGGTGTCTGCACACACCACTTATTGCCTGATTGTATGGATGCTATGTATTGTACTGTCGACAAATAGTTTACAATGGACATACTCTCTGTGTAGTAGAAGTTTCTCGTAATTTGTTTTTTATTTGATTGAATGTAACCGGTTACTGATGCTTATGGACAGTTGCAAGTGGAGGTGTTAGTAGATTATTCTTCTACCAGAGAGTTCTGGAGTTTCTATTCACTGTCTTCCTAGCGGTAGAGACGGCATATCTCATCATTTGTGTATTTTTTGTTTTCGATGAGATGACATGTGCTCAGTTGGCGGATTGGGGGAATTTAGTTAGAATTTTTACAGGCATTAGTAATGCCCTTCCAGAGCCGTTAACAGTCAATTGAATTTGATTGAATTTATATTAGTAGAATACCGATATTTTTACCGATGTCAATGGCATCTCAATAGCGTATCAATGGAATGACAGTGACTTGTACGTTAACATAAAATAGCAGAATTGAAGCCTTTCTCCCAAGAAGTTTTTCCCCCAATCCATAAAAATTAGCAATGTTAGCATGCCTATGTATACTTTGTATCTTATAAATAAAATTAAACAACATAATAATATATAATATAGGCTATACTCGTATAGAGAGGCTCGAGGCAAAGTGGTAACCGAGTAGGTTAACACATTGCAAAGTTAAGCAATCCTAGCTATGTCAGTCTATGGATGGGTTACCATTTCTTAACCTATTGAGACACCTCCGTGCCCAGTTTGAAAAAAAGGCTCGAAGGAATAATGTATAATATACATTCTTCGTCATGCGACGTCATTTACGGTTTTCTCTCTTCAGAGTAGGAAGAAACAATAGCTTGACATTGGCTTTTATCGTGGTACAGCTCATAAGCTTGCTCTATAGTTATATCTATAAGCTAGATGTTTTTGGGGACTTCTAACAAGGCTTTCTTTGGAACATATTCAAGGTGGTTAGTTACTCTGACGTTTGATGTTCTACGTTGGATACCACTTGACAAGGTACCAGCTTTTCCAAATTGACCATGGTTGACCTTGACATAGGTATGTTCTCCTAATAAGTCACAACTGTTTTGGTTTAAACAGATATTTTTTCACTACTTTAAATAATAAACTTTTAATTTACCGAGGTATTCATCAATCCTTTATAACTATGGCACAAAGAATCAAAGGAAATATTAATAAAATGTTCATTCTTTGTTTCAGATCTTTGGAGACCAGAGATATTGATGACTTCTTTCAAAATGTACTTAAGATGAAGAAGAGGCCTAACCGAAGAATAAAATGACAAACGTAAAGCTAAAACTCATGTTCTTCCTTTTAAATTCGTTATTGACAGCTGATATTGTATATGCTCGTCCATACTCTGACAAAAATAGAACAGATATTATTATAAAATATGCCAACAATAATACATTTCATTTACCTGTCAATCCTGACTCCGACACTCTTGTTGCTGCTACTGATGAAGAAACAAGAGAGACAGATAGAAGCTCCAAAACGGACATGCGAGCTATGGTCAGCGCTGAACAGGACAGAGATGAAGCATTCTCACAGAGAACTGTAAAAGATCAAAAAAAGATTATGGAAATACGTAGCTCTGATACAGATGCTGTCGAAAAACAGTTAAACGGATCTAGTAGTCTGTTAGAAGACATCATCAATTCTGAAACAGACAGAGAAGATACTATAACAGATATACTTTTCAGACCTGAATCTGAGTTCGTTGAAGATATGCCTCGCTTTGAATTTCTTATAGCTGCAAAGATAAATGAGAGTGACTTTGGGACTAGAAATGTTAGTGAGAGTGAAAGAGACAAGAACAGTAGTGACGTGTTAAAAAAGGTGGATTATGTGGAGCTGGTAGAAGTCGACAAGACTTCGAAAGAGAACAGTAGCGCATATATGATGAACGGCACTATACACGAAGTGGATAATGACTTGGCTCCAGATACAAGTGAGTATTATGATATAGAATTTTGTAATTAGAAATAACATAGTAAGCAGTTATTAAAAATTTCCTAAAGTCGTAAGTCTCGCAAGGCTCTCTAGAATACTTTTGCCTAACTGCAGTCTCCACTCTAGCACGTGTCTGCTCCAGCGACCATCAGTCCGCCTGGAGATATGACCAGCCCACTTCCAATTTAGTGCTCTGATTCTCCATGCGATGTTGGTTACTCTAGTTCTCCGTCAAATAAAAACTTGAATAAATGACTGGCAGCCGGTAGATGTAGATTGCCCAAGACCGGGTAATCGGAACTACTTGGAGTAGGCCTTCGTTCAACAGCAGAGGCAATGGCTGATAATGATAACTCTAAAATTCAAAATTAAGTAGGAAGTATAGTATATTTCTATTAGGCCGTATATCCGTGGAAAAGCCATGCTTGCGCACATATAGGCCAGGCATGACCGGAATGGTACCATGGCCACTCAGAAAACCGGTGTTAAGCAGTTCTTTCATTGTTTTTTACTGAGTGAGTGAGGTTAAACCCAAACCCCTGATTCTGGGGGGAGGGCCTAAAAGGGCAGCCACGCACTTGTGACTCTTGAGTTGCAGGTGTCCATGGGTGGTGGTCACTTACCATTAGGTGATCAGTCTGCTCGTTTGCACTCTATTTAACAAAAAAAGGCCAAAACAAATCCACATTACACATCAAAATCCTTTAATAGTCCACTGGACATACGCCTCTGCATTGAAATAAGGTTTTGGCCTACTATACCACGCTGGCCAGACTGATTGGGATAGGGTTTGTTTCAAGGTTTCCTTATCTTTGCATTGTTGTTGTTCTACGTAGTTTGCTCCCTTAGTCGGTTTTTGTGATACCCACGTTGTGAATAGGAGTGGTGACACTCCGAATTCTTAATCTGTTACCACACGGACACGTTAGGGTCCTTCGAGGGTTTTGAACTCCGGTTGCTCGCTTACCCGGTGATGAACGAATATATTACTTATCCGTTTGCCATTAAATCTTGTTTTTGTTTTACTAAACTATAATTATTAAATTATGGCTGGCAGGAGCTGGTTGCGAGAAGCCCAAAATTGATCTTAGTGGCGTGCAAAAGGAGAGGCCTATGTTCAGCAGTGGACCGCGATAGGCTGATGATAAATTAATATTAAGACAACCATCTATCAGCCATCCTTCCCATTTTCAATCCAACAGAAAAACAAGTATAATTAAATTAGCGTCATAACCGCAGTCTTTTATCTGGCTCCCTAGTTTTCAACATCGAATTCATGTAATAATCTGACCTGTCACATCTCTCCTACATTGCGTTCTTAAGATGTTACGTATTTAAGAATCAAAGCCCTTCTATTTTTGAATAGGTCTATCTTACATGAACTAGCTTTGTAATCAAATAATCTGTAATCAAGATGGTGTCGAAAATTACTGAACCGGAACACTGCACAGGTCGGTGTTAGCTTAGAAATTTCTAGTAACACCTAAATATACAAGGTGCAAGGGACATCGTACCGAATACTGAAATAGTGTATTCAGACTATGATTCTGAGTCGAAAATCATTGAAATTTTCGGCCGGAAAATTCATAATTTTGTTTTAATTTCCATTTTTCTGGTTAAAAATGATGAAAAATAATATTACAATGAGTAGAGAAAACATTTTACCGAAATCAATTTAATGAATACCAAAAAATATGCAATGTAACTAATCAAACAGCCGAAGCGCGAGGGGCCTCCCCTCCGGCCACCATTTTGTGTTAGGTGCGTAGTATGTTCGCACGGAATACACATGTTATTACTTTTGTGCGATACCTACAGGGAATGACCTTAACCTTAGACAGCTGATTGCATAAAAAGTTTAATTTTCCGGCAGAAAATTCCAATGATTTTCGACTCAGAATGATGGTCTAAATACACTATTTCTGTATTCGTGACGACGTCCCTTACACCCTGTATCTACATAGATATAGCTATAATAAACTTTATCTAAGTACTTCATCATTAAGCCTTTGGAAGGCTTACATCCTCTCTTTGTTGGGATCATTGGCCGTGTATGAGATATGTGACGTAAATATCATTACTGGAACGAAGTTCCTTATCGCGCGTTGTGAAAGGGGGCTATTATATATAATCATTACTTTTCATCTCAGTATTTATTTTGAATTGTCACTTGTCAGTCATTCAGCGCCATCTATCGAATAGATAGGAAATCATTTCTCAAGGAGATTTTACCAATGTATAAATTGTTTTAATTAGAAACCAACTGAAAAATATGCAGGTAATAGCCGCTTTCATAGATGGCGTTGTAATTAAAATCGTGTCGAATCAGTTTTACTCGATCGTCACAACTTCGTTCCTATCGGGTGTCCCACGACACCACACGGCTTTTTTATTGTAATATATACTATTGACGAGCCTTGGCTTAGTGGCTAGTGATCCTAACTGCTGTGCCAGAGGTGGTGGATTCGATTCCCACCTAAGAATAATAACTTGACACGTCTTGCACAGGACGTTTGATTCCAAAATATATTGATCCTGTACGAGTGTATGGAAACTAGACTTCTGACAAACATACTATTATCTGTACTATTTAAGTACATACATATTATAGATAAATTACACCTAGACACAGAACAATTGATCGTGCTTAAAGCACAATATTTTTCTCTATAGATTTAGCTCTATATTCAACTCTGGTTTAGCAGTTAGGATCCTTAACAACTAGAATAATAGGCCCGCAAAACGCGTTAAAATAGGCTTAACATTTCTTTTGGATTATTAAAAATTGGTTGGCCAACTAGATATTTAGAGATATCTAATACTCGTATATAAAATTCTCGTGTCACGGTGTTTTTTAAAAAAACTCCTCCGAAACGGCTGGACCGATTATTATGAAATTTTGTGTGCATATCGGGTAAGTCTGAAAATCGGCCACCATCTATTTTTCATACCCCTAAATGATAAAAACGTTTGCCGGGTCAGCTAGTATTAATATAATATTTCAGACATCTGACACACAACTTCTACTATGTAAGCTTGACTGACTGATGGAATACTTATATACTTTCTCTTTGCTTTGTTTTTTATGTATCTCCAAAATAAAAAATATTTCCAGATCATACATACTCGTACATTTGTCCGACCCAGATATCGTACCCCAGCCCACAGCCCAGCAGTCCCATACGCTAAAACTGCACCATCGTATCAGTCAATATATACGTCTTTCTTGAAATCACGTCAATGTAATATAAACCTCGATTCATTAAACGTAGTCTGTACTCAAAGATAGATTACAATAGTATCAAGTTACATCATTAAGACGATTCCTATTTTAGGAAAGAGAGAAGATTGAGGAAGAAGAATGATCGGGTTACAATTATTGAACAAAGTTCTTATAAGGTAAACATTTAGTCATCCATTTTGTTTTTAATTGACTTCGGAAAGGGATTAGATTCAAATTTACTTTAATAGGGAACAATATTCAAATCTTTTATCGTAACATACCGTACCGTACTTATCTTTTATCTTATCTTTGTATGAATATTTTAACACTATGAACTAACGTCTACGATTTCTTGTGTGTTGCATCGATCATCAACGGCCTTTAACAGTCCACTGCTGGATTTAAGCCCTTCCTTAGAAAGGAGGTTTTGGCCTATTATACCACGCTGGCCAGAGAGGTTGGTAAAGGGTGTGTCAAGTTTTCCTTCTCTCTGCAGTGGTGTTGTTTTGCGTAGGTTTCTCCCTTAGTCGGTTCTTACGACAACCAGGGGATGACACTCTGTATTCTTAATCCGTCACCACACGGACCAACATAATATGCATCGATATTGCATGTTGCGTGTGTGCGATATTGCATCGATATTGAAACGTACATTTTCCTCGAAATGAAAAGACAATCTTAATACAATTCCATTCAGTTGATTCCATGAAATTAATTTAAAAAAAATGTCTTTTACCTACTTGGGCGAGGAGTGAGAAATTATCGTTTAGATGTGTCAAAATAAGTCTAGCAAAGTTTGTCTACTTCTCTAGGAGAGTGTAGAAGAAGCTTTTATCACTATTCCGGATTACCTCTGTCAGAATTATATTAAACTTACTTATAGTCAACGTGAGCGCTAAACGTAACTAAAATCCATTAAAAAAGGCGCAATCAAGTTATCCTTTTTTCTTTCACAGTCACGCAATAGCCTTTTAATTCTTCAAATTAAAATTCAGAGATATAGCAGCATTTGAAGCAAACCAAAAAAGAACCGTCCTAAGTCCACTGGAAAGTTTTAAAGTTTGTTAGTACTAATGAAGCATTGTAGGTACTCTGTATAACTGCTGGAGGAGAGTTATATAAAATTTATTCAAAGTTTGAAATTATGTCAATATTATTTTTACGTTAAATAAAAATTTGGTAGAGCAGGTTAATGTCGAGTGTAGTAAGAGGATTATTTTATGGTGTAATGGGTAAACGAGCAGGCGAGTCACCAGATAGTACCTCCTATATAAGAGACTAACTCCGGCCATTGAAACTTGCAACTCAATAGCACAAGTGCGTTACCGTCCTTTGTATATTCAAATTCTTTCGTATTCCCATCCTTTGGTCCTTCGTATTTCCCATCCTTTGGTCCTTCGTATTTCCCGTCCTTTGGTCCTTTATGCATTCCCCACTTCCCTGAGTACTAATGGGAGACTTTACTCCGCTAACCTCACTCCCGCGGTGAACAGTACCACAGGAATTGCTTAATACCGGTATTCTGTGACGCCGAGGTGTCATTCCAGTCGAGCGGGCTATTCTGTGCCGAAGCATGGGTCTCCCACGGTTAGGTTTTAACTAAATTATAATTATAATCAGTCTTTGATACGCTCTTGCTTACCTTTTACAGAATTCAATTGAGTGTTCGTATATTAAATTAAACTCTGCCAAATTGGTTCCAACTCCTAATAGGCTAAATAAAAACCTTTACATCTGTTTATTTCGTATGCTCTTTGTGATTATTTCAATTCAATTCAATTGGCTGTAGTTTCGGCAGTTTGCCAAA